AACCTAACCTAAAAGCTTAAAGGGTTGCCTGTAAGATATTGCTTATAGCAATAAGTCCGCCTTTGCGCAAGTTTTGTATCAACATAGTTAAAATACATTATATACTAATTGTTGTGCAAAAAGAATTAAATAAATAAATAAATAAAAGCCTAAACACTAGAAAATAGAAGGTCCGAGAGTTAAAAAATTGGATAATCTAACTAGAGAAAATAATGTTTGGTTTTATCGATACCTACTTAGGAAGCGGATATATTATATTTCTGAGTTTTCCCTTTTCTGTTTATTATTGATATTGAGGACGTCTCTGGGCTGCAGTCGCTACGTTATTTCGGCAAATCGACGTCGGTAAAAGAAGTATCAATTATATGTCATCTTGGTGCATTCTTTTGCATTTCTCTATAGGCAGTCTAAATTTTAATTTCCGGTACGCCTTAAAACATCTGACCTACATCCGCTGAGGCCTAATCCGCCCCAATCCAGAATGCTAATCTTCATAACGACGTGCTACGAATGTTTGAATACAGATAAATAAATAAAATCGCGTTGATGGAGAAAAATGTGTGTTAGTATGTTGAACGCGCTTCGGCCGGCTGGGTGTGTACTTACGGTGACCAACATTTTGTATACACTAGGACAAAATCGAAATAAAAAATAGGTTGGTTAACTAACTTTTTTATGTTTAAATGTACAGTGAGTAGGCAGTTTACACACTAAACTAGTGCATGTCATCATTCGAACACATAATTACTTAACAACTGATGGCACCGAGGTATAGCGCTTGTTTACTTGTTAAAGTACCTCTTAATAAAATAATAACACCTTTAATTTAGCTTTTCGGAAGGCACTTAATTATATTTTTGTTAAAAATCTCACAAATTTTCACAAAAGCATGGTCACCTTACACGCCAATTAAATCTGTTGAAGAATCAAGGAACGTAAAATTATGTGTTTTAGGCATACAATTTAGCATATTCATTAAATAATATTAATTTTAACTGTAAGTCATCGTTAGCAGTTGATTTAATACTAATAAAACATCAAAGCTGACTGATTAAAGGGGGTAAGGGGGGGGGGATAGTTATTAAGAAAAAGAAAGCTCTGTAATACTTTACATTATTATTCAAAACTAATTAAATTAGATGTAAAAAATGTAATTAAATTACAATATGGTTTATATTACTGAATCTATTGAATTACAGCACTAAGCTATCTAATTTATATTTATGTACTGTACAAGCTTTCGCCCGCGACTCAGTCTGCGTGGAGTTAAAAAAAAACAAAAGTGTGTCTTCCAGACTATCCCCTACATCTAAACCAAATTTCATTGAAATCCGTTCAGCCGTTTAGGCTACAAACTCTAAGAAACATCCATCCATCCATCCATGCATCCAAACTTTCGCATTTGTAATATTAGTATGATTGTAGTTACGTAATGTAAATTTCTTTGATATTATTGTCATGCTAAAGCAAAATTATTAATTGATATTAGATACAAGACTTTAATTAAAATATTCATTGTAGAATGAACGATTTTGTTTTTGACTTATAATTTGTAAAACATGCGTCACGTCATAAATTAAATGCGTCTATAGGGCCTAAAAGAGGAATGCACAAATAACTTAAGCCAACAAACCGAACGACGCGGTCACAGATAGCGAAAGCTTATTGACATATTGGAAAGTAGCCACTGTTTGTAATAACTTGTCAAAAAAATTGTTTCCTATATCTAGTGACATAAGGTTCAATTTATGTTATAATATTCATCTTGTTGATCGTCTAAACGTAGGCGGTTCTAATCATGTATTAGACATATTTAGGTTGAACGTTCGACAACATTCTTGGTAAATTTCATTGGAGGCATCGGAATTAGAATTATTATAATTACGTCATAGGCTTTGGTCTTCAACAGATATCATCATTACTAAACTCCACATAGTGACGTTTCTATAAATACATAACTAATATCATATTTTATTCTCTGGCAGAAATTATTTAGTTCTATTTAGGAAAAAAATATCCGCGTAAGGAGATAGGATAAATGGCGAGCTCTCCTAGAAATGTATGTGTCGTATCCGGCCCGATTGGCACGCGACATGCGCGCTCATTGTATTAACCATTCGACATGCCATGGTGCAACAAGTACACTTTCTTTGTAAATGTCACTGCAAGTAATTGACATAGTTACAGTAGAACTTTGGTTGTAGAATCGTAAACAATTATAGTAATTATAAAACTATTTTAATAACCATAACAACATACATTTATAATGTAAAAATTGCTAGTTATGAATGGTGATTTAACGTTATATTAATACATGTTAAGAGTTGTAACCGTAATATACATGATGTGTTGGTTGGTAATGTCAAGAATATCAAGTAGAAGAATATATAGATGACGTCATAAAATATCAAAAAGAATTTGCCACCAGCATTGTTTTTAAAAAAATATTGTAATCCAATGTGTGGTTCATACTAGACTGGACAGTTGCGAGAATTCAATTTTTATATGTGAATCTTTAACACAAAATGTTGCACATTAATTTAGCGTATGTTTACTAGTGCAAGGTATACGCAACGTTTTACGATCAGAGGCGACGACAACCCAGTTGCGCGCATCCTCCTGCCGACCTTGCTGACCGACATGCGCCCTGGCATACCCCGCGCACATTTCACTTCCTTTTTAAATCATTTTTAAAATATAATGCGTAACATTTAATTTGTGTTGATCAATGTTGTTGGATGGTGATGTCAGCGTTGATTGTAATATAATAAATACTTTTAAGGGTCCTTACAACAGGTTATAGTTGATGTCATTTTTTAATATCAACATATTGTTGCAGTGTTATGCCGGAATATGGATCTGAAGAACGAATACTTCACGCGCTAACCCTCCTAGAGGGGGTAAGTACAAGGAGACGATTTTATAAGCCTGTTATCATTGGAATATTTGACATAAGTCTTATATTCAAACGTAATTATTCACGGTCACATTTATAAATTCACACTTTAAACGTGACTGATTATTACGGCATGTTATTGCAATAAAAAATACAACCTCACTATACAGATTGTACCTACAATAATAAAGAATAAAAAGCCGGTATTTATAAAAGATTCCAGCACTGACATTTCGCACAATAATTACCCGCAATTTCTCCTCATTGCCGATCTTGTTTACGTGACCTTTTCCATCTTGACATGTTTGTTGCTCTTATAACTTACGTACTTGAACTTACACCGATATTTTAAATTAAAACTAATAATAGCGATTACGAAGATTCTACACTTCTGTAGAATTCAGTAGAATAACCAAAAGTAACTAAAAACCTTATGGTTATATTATAATCATATCTTAATAGTTATTACAGCTCAAAAAGAATAAAACCTTACACCGCCTTAGGTAAAATGGACCAAGCCGTCGAAAGATGTTGATCGCAAGTTATACGTGAGTAATATTTCCATTCCTTTTATGACAATTTTTACCTTATAACTTTTAGTGATTACTTAATTAAACTTATTTCATCAATAAATCAAAATCAATTTTAACAAAAACATACCATGTTGTCTCATAGATTCAATGTAGTAAGTCAGCACTTAAAAAACCCTCCACACTGTAAACTTCACTTTTAACCAGTAAATAAAGCCCTGACCTAAATTGCCTGCAATTCAACAATTTTCAATCATTTGATATCTTGTAAATTTTTATACACACAAATAAACATGTATTAGTATACTTAGCAAGTCTGAGGTTGTCCTGCAGATCATGAGATAATGTTTCTACGCCTTATATTATAATCATTAAACCGTCTTATTGTCCAATCATTAACTAGCAACTAGTCTGAGATCGTCTGATTACAGTGAACGCTGATTGACCGTTGATTGTGGCTTCACTATAATTAAATGGGAAGGAACCGACTCAACCGTGAATGATGACGTTCGTGTTTCAAATGAGCTTTAAGCTCTATTCATATGATTATCACGTTGCTATTTTTACCTTTATCTATTACTAGCTTTCGCCCGCGACTTCGTTCGCGTAGAATTAAAAAAAAAGTAGGTAGGCTATGTGTTCTTCCTGACTATCCTCTACAACTATGGCAAATTTCATCAAAATCCGTTTAGACGTTTAGGCTACAAACTCTAACAAACATCCATCCATCTAAACTTTCGCATTTATAACATTAGTTAGATTTTACAGAGTATTTTGTGATGAATATAGTTTAGAACTACTTTATATTAATCTAGTAAAGTGACATGTACAGTCGAGAAAACTTGCGATCTTAAAAGCTACAATGGTTTGAACATTTTGAAACGATACACGGAACAAAAATCAATATACACAGTTTACAAATGTCTCTGTTCGAAAAATAGTTGGTTAGTGTTACACGCCTAGTTTCTTTTTATTATTATCCCTTCGTTTACACCACTTATTGATATATGATTAGTTATTTGTAGAAAAGACTTAGATTGTCTTATTGCAATGAACAAGGCATTTTTCCTGAAGTGGAACACTGTGGATTTTCGTAACTGTACCTAAAATACGATGCATTTTTATAGGAATAGGCCAGCATTGGAAACCTTACTTACAAGAGGTCACCGACTCGCAATCGCACCACCCAAGGCAGCTGCGTCACCGGACAGAATGTGGTATAACTAATGTTTTTTTAATAATTCCTTGAAAAAAATAATAGAGGTTGCAACATTGAAATATAATAAATTTAAGATACGTTTTTAGTTTACTTATTTTGCACAATACTAATTGTGTCTTTATTTACTTTCTTGTCATGGTTGCAGGTAATTCGTAAAACGTTCAGCCAAGCTCTCTCAAGACACCGAATATCTTCACTACCGAATAGCCTTCAAAGATGACCCCTCGTATTCTCGGTTCATTCATCACATATGGCCTTTAATTCAGCCGAGTCGATCAGTTCGGATATTTGGTATGTATGTAGGCAGACTTTCTCCGGGTGAAACGAGTATGGGAGAGGGGGGCACGACCTTGTTAGAGGGAGGCTGGCACCTGCGCTATCCACTTGTCACTGTCCGATCGGCGCGCGCGCATCGCCGCCACCGATACAAACGCGTCGTACACGTGCGTGACTATCCGATTATCCGATAGTCGGTAATATCCGATATTATCCGAACCGTGGACCTTTGTAGTGAACTGTGATTGTGTTGGACCTTTGATTATTGTTGATAAGGAAAATTAAACGGTATGTATTAACAAGTATTAATTTTTATTTTAAATAACAGATAAACTATTAGATGCATTCCAGCAATAGTTATATGCAATGTAATATCATTTGTAATTTTTATTACATTACTTCTGCTACAAAATCTTAATTGAGTAGTTAATTTCATATTTTTCTTAATTAACGAAATAGTAAAAGTGTGTAAACAGTGTGAAAACTAGAACAAAATGATTTGAATAAGATGTGTGTCAGAAGTGATAAGTGCATTCATAGTGGATTCTCGGCTCGGGGTCAGATCGCAGTCGCATAGTAAACAATCGTGGGGTATTCTAATTTGCACTATTAACATATTATACCGTTTAGTCTGATATAGAAAGTTTTTCTACAAAACTCTTAATTTAACAATGTGTTCTATACCAGTTATGTTCTATGCCAATTTTTCTCTAGATCCGTTGAAATTTTCTAAAGATTTAATAAACATACATGCATACTTTCATATTTTTAATATTAGTAAGATTTTTTCATCATCCACTTGCACTTATCCCTTACGGAGGTTCAGCACAGTATGTGCTGCTCATCCATACATCTCTATCAGCCGTCATATCTGAATCCACACCTTTCTTAAGCATATATTTCACACAATTCATCCATACTTTCTTTGGTTTTCCTCTACCTTTGTAGCCATCCACGTTCAATCTTAACACTTTCAGGTTTATGTCCTCATCGTTTACTCGATATTCGACATTATTTATTCGTTATTTTATAATATAGACTTAAAGTTTTTAAAGTAGACAAATTAAATTTCGATAATAAATCAAATGGTAGTTTGTAATAGACAAATTAATTTATGTTAATCAATTGAAAAGGGATAAATTTGAAGAGAAAATAAAAGTCTGTATTAAAATGTCTCATACGAATGTATATATGTGTTTAGACATAAGTTATTATAGCATCCAAACTTTATGGAGGCTCGAAGTTAACTGCGAGCGTATTTCTACGCGAGTAGGTGGCAGAAATTTCAGCGGGCGTAGAAAAGCGCGTGCAAGGGGGACAGGGCGGGCACATTTCATTTTAAAATAGTGCCGTTTCATAAAATTGTTTTCAGGCAGCGTTTTTCATGAATTTGCGAGCTGCCATAAAGTTTGAATGTCACTATACCTGATTTTAATATCGATTTTAGTATCTCAGTGGGCTGAACGATATAATCGCCTAGGGCGTTCCCAACCGGTGCTGACTTTCTTTTATTCATCACGAATTTGCTTTGTTTCTCTTTTTGACCTACTTCTTAAAAGGAGGTACTCAATTCGTCTGTATGTTTTTTTTATGTGTGTTACGGCATAACTCCGCCGCTAGTGGACCGATTTTGATAATTCTTCTTTTATCCGAAACGTAATGCTTGCAGATGGGTCCTATTTTTTTGTTTAATTTTATTATTCATCTTTTATGAACATTCACTTTTTAAATTTTCCTCTACATAATTTTTAATTCAATATCACTGATCTAGTTGAAGAAGTTAATCAAGAAAAATCTTTACCAATTAGTAATATAAGTTGATTTTTGTGCAATTGTTACACAATAAACTATTTAACTACGTCGTAGTCTTTGACTCCAAAAATCAAATAAAAAAATGGGACCCACCTGCAAGCACTACCTTTCGGATACAAAAAGAATTATCAAAATTGGTCCACTAGCGGCGGAGTTAAGCCGTAACACACATAAAAAAAAACATACAGACGAATTAAATACTTCCTTCTTTTGGGAAGTCGGTCAAAAAATAGGGTATGTCCGTCTTTATCTTAATTAGTTATTAATTTTATTTCGGCTACTTTCTTTGAAGTTGCTTACGATTTTTGATGTTAAGAATAGCTAATAATGACTTTCTACAATGTATCCGTACTATACAAGCAGCTTTATTGAACATTACAATATAAATGGTAACTAGACGTTTTGGAGCATGCAGTGCGCACTACAAATGCACTAAAGCGTCGCAATTAAGAATTCAATTAATTTTTACGTTGAAAAAGATGATAAACCATACTGTAAATCTTATGAATTGAGACGAGTGTGTTTATATTTTTATGGTTATGTAACTTAAGGGGGACAGACCACTAAATTGTAAATCGTCTGATAAGAATAGAACGTGTAAAATTTGATCGGATTGATTACTAATCAGGCAGTGACATCATTTTTAAGCTATCTGAGTTTCTATCAGCCATTGGTGGGACAGCCCTTAAATGTGGATTTGACTTGCAATTGTTTTCTGATGCAGCTAATTATCCCTTATTTATTCACTTGGAAAACAGCATGACAAAAATTCATTTTTAAGTTAGTCGGAAAAATAACGAATAAATAAAAGTACTTGTACATTACAATCATAATAAATTAACAAACTCGTAGATCTTTCATACTTAAATTTAGAGCCAGCGTACACCATTGACTAAACTATCTCACACTGTTGTGTGATTGTCGATTGTTTCGCAGCTACTTCAACTGTTTAGTTGCACAACTATAAATCGAGTATAGTTTGTCTAAATAAAATAGATTAGTATAAATGACGTATATAAAATATCGAATTCAATCTCTATGAAGGCAAATGCCATACTTAATAGACAGCAATCGTAGTGACGAAACAAACACGCATAGCCAACAATTTGGAACTATCGATATTCGGTTTCAATAATTATTGAACTCGACAAAAATTTTTATTTTCTTATTAACTAATTTATATGACAATTCTAGTATAGATTATAGTGTAGAGAATTTAGCGATGACATAAATAATAGCGAAATCCAATTGGATTACGTACGGCTGTAGTAATAATAATTAACATTTACTTACTCTCATTATTTGTTATGGTCATTATTAATTTGAGAAAACAGTGTTTTTTTTTTAATTCATAAGTTATAACTATAAACCTATTGGTTCCAACTTCTATAAGAATAAAAATCGAAAATCGATAAGATTCATGACTGATTTTACACAACCCATCATAGAGAATTTTACTACCGTAGTACTACGGTCTTACTGACACAGTCTTCCATTGATTAAATTTGATTTGACCCCATTATCTATTAATATCTACGTTTAACTATGTATGCAAATACAATTGTTTGTATTGTTCATTTGTTTTTTATAAACCGGTTCAATCCAGTTCAAACCAGTTCTAGGGTTGACACAAGTTCCTAGACTACGGACGTGTGCGCTTTCTCGTCCCAACCTCCTTTTGCGTGTGCGACCTTTGGTTTGTTTTGTTTACATACGTAAAAGGAGTCCAAGCCTTAGTGGTATCATTACGACTAGTGTTACGTTAATTACGATCACGCGTAAATTAACGTAATATTTTAGTATGCGATTATTTAGAGATGTTCGATTTTTTTAAGCAAGTTTCGTAATTTTAGTTTATTATTACAAGTAGTTTTTTTAATCGACTTTAGAAGTTTTGAATTGTGTATGTGCTTTTTTTTAGTATAATTATAAAGAATAACAAAAATGGGAACGCCTCTAAAACACTTACTGTCACTAATAACTTGATAATGTTATGGATTTTGTTGCATCAGTAATTCTTGTAGCACATCTAAATATGAGTAATTTCGAAAATACTTATAACATAACGAGCTATTCCGTGCGGCTTAAATCGCATGGAATAATAAAAACTATATTTTAGTGTTCATATTTGTGAAATTTTAAATTACAAATGTCAAAATTAAAATGCACAAATGACATTTAATAACAATTACCGTAACCATGGCAACCTTGCTTCCTTTATGTTATCGATTTGTAGTTGTGTCCTGTCCCCGCATGGCGGTTTTTAACAAATAATTTAGTTACTTGATGGACGAATTGTAGGTATTAAAGAAAGAATTATTCAAAAATATACTGCGATTTCTGACATTCTACGTCATTAAGTAGTGTGTTTACTCTTTAATATATTAGAATAGATATAGATGATATATATAAATCAGTTGCCAGTTGACAAGCAGACAATCATTCAAATCGTCCGCGGAAAAGCTCGCGTCGGCTGATATGTCGGCATTCGTTTAATCACAGTTTAATCGTTACGTTAATGGGTGAAACTTATCTCCGGAGACATCGACCAGGATCCACCCGTCCGTTTGTCTTTTTTACATTAAACTTTCCGCACTTTCTCTAGTTAAGGTTAAGATCGGAATAAATTATACGAATGTACATTATTTATGAGTTAGATAAATTAATATAAATGTATTTAATTCAATTAAAATATAAATATATTCAAGGGCTCTAATGAGCATACAAACCGACTAGCGTACAATTTTTTATGTAACAAATGGAAAATATGTGACAGAATTATTAAAGTCTAAAGACTATTGAATGAGACGAGCATGAACAAGGAGGAGCGCGTGAAGAATAAATAACAAAAACTAACAACTTTTAATTAAAATAGCAAGAATTTATGTATGTACAAATTGAGAATTATGTAGAAATCAGCCTAGCGTTGTGACATCTTATTAAACTAATTCAATTATTTTAAAAAAAGAACTAAAGAAAAAAATATAAATTCTTATTTTAAAAAAGTATTAAAAGTAAAAACACAAAAAGGTTTATTGCATCGCCAACAACTATTAAAGAAATCTTTTCAGTGATAAGTTGTTGATTAAATTTTAAGAATAATTACATTTACAGGAACAAAGTTTAGATCCTAATTCCTTAATTAAATGTAACGTTATTTATTATTTAATGTATCAAACACTTCTAAGTATAATGTAAATTTATTGAAATCGGAAGATAAAACTGGAATATGTAAATTTTCAAACTTGGTAAGCTAAATAAAAGATGTAACTACTTAGAACTAAAACTACTCGGTTTATTTAAAACTTGTAGAGCTTTTTTCAACGTACGTACGTACTTACAAGTTATTAATATGTAAGCTTAATGCGATACCTCGTTAACGGATTGAGGAGAAAGTTCTAACTATGATCAAATAAATAACGTTGGGCACTTTAGTAATGGTGTTAATAGCCGAATATTATCTATCTATTGGCGAT